CCACAGAAACGTGGTCAAGAGAAGCACAGTGCGAGCAGCGCCTGAGGGCCTCTGCGCGTCCTGAGACGACGCCTCTCCTCTTCCACACCTCCCTAATGAGCACCATGACCCAATGAGTCTCTTCTCGTCCTTTATTATCGAGCCCGTTGTGCGCCATGCACGCCGCTTCTCAGGCGTTGGCGAGGCGAGCCATGACGGAGCTCGGTCTCTGGCATGTGACAATCACGACTCTGCGTCTGCGGCAGTGCCACGGCGGGAGCACGAAACGGACGCGGGCTCCGTGAGCGCACGTGAAAGAAACAGCCCCGAAGCAGCTCACGGCCGGCCCACAGCGCTGGGCGACGGGTTCCGACGTTACTCGTCGTTCTCGCAGCGGCCTCGCAGCGCGGTTGTTGACGAGGAGCAGAGCCATGACGATCTGCCAATAGACACCCCAGTCGACATGTCCGCGAATCCATCCCGCACCCTCGCTGATCAGTTCCGTCACCTCGAGGTCGACTCGTCCCGCTCGACTGCGCCGTCGCCCTCGTCGCTCCGTCCCGCCAGCACCCCCAGCCAGCATGCCAGCGCCATGGCTGAGCTGCTCCCCGCTGACGATGGCATGGCCCATCTCCGCGAGCGCATCCACGAGATCCGCGCCCTGAGCATATCCGACCAGGAGCGCGCCCGCATGATCCACAACCTCATGACGGAGAAGTACAACCACATGCGCCCGACGTCCCCCGCGAGCTTCATCTCACACGACCGCCCCTTTACCCCGACCTCCGGCCAGTCCCTCTTCTCCGACGTCCATGCGTCATCGCCCTACTCGTCCACCACAGACGTGACCCCCGAGATCTCGTACAATCTGCGCGAGGGCGACACGAACCCCACGTATCGGCCCCATCACGACCACGGCGCAGAGCACGGCGAAGACGACGAGGAGGACAGCGCCGAGGGGGAGCTTGTGCTTGGCTGCCAGCATTACAAGCGCAATGTCAAAGTGCAATGCTTCGAATGCCGCCGCTGGTACACGTGCCGACACTGCCACGATGCAGTCGAGGACCACAACCTGAACAGGAAGCTGACACAGAACATGCTGTGTATGGCATGCGGTACGCCCCAACCAGCAGCCGAGGTGTGCAAGAACTGTGAGACGGAAGCCGCATGCTACTATTGTGACATTTGCAAGCTCTGGGATAACAACAGCAAGAAGAAGATCTACCACTGCCCAGACTGTGGTATCTGCCGGCGAGGAGAAGGTCTGGGCAAAGACTTCTATCACTGCAAGGTACGTCCTGCTTTAGACGCACTTTGGACTAGACTGATTGTGTGCAGAGTTGCAATGTTTGCATATCCATCTCTCACGCGACCTCGCACAAGTGCCTCCCGCGTGCTACCGAGGGCGATTGTCCAATCTGCGGCGACCATCTCTTCACCTCGTCTACTGCTGTCGTGTCAATGCCTTGCGGCCACTATCTCCACAAAGGATGCTACAACCTCTACATGCAGACTGCGTACAAATGCCCAATTTGCAAAAAGAGTGCTGTGTGTATGGATCTGCAGTGGCAGAAGTTGACTCAAGCAATTGAGGGTCAGCCCATGCCAGAGCAGTTCGCAAACACACGGGCAGTCGTCCAGTGTAACGACTGTTCAGCCAAATCTTCTGTCAAATATCATTGGCTTGGCAACCAATGCGGTACATGCGACTCTTACAACACCAACGAGCTCCGCATTCTGAACGGGCCAGAGAGTGAAGAAGCTGCCAATGCGATACTAGACGCCGACCTTGATTCAGGTTCGAGATCGCCTGTGAGCGTCAGCTCGCCCTCCTCCCAAGCACCACTTCGTTCGCCCCGGTACTATTTCCAACCAGATGAGCCTGAAGAGACATGGCTACCAGGTCAGCTGCCCTCTTTCCCTTTCCAGATGCCGCAGTTTCCTGGCAGACCGCGCATGCCGCAGATGCCTCAGATGCCACAATTTCCATCTCTACCGCAGTTCCCACCGCTGCCAAACTTCCCACAGATACCGCAATTTCCACAAATGCCTCAGATGCCTCAAATGCCTGATGCTGCACAGCAAATGCTTGAACGCGTGCGCCAATCCTTCGATGCTTATCTCAACCCGACGGGAGATATTCGAGCTGAAGATGTGCCCTTCATCGATCTCAGCAACGACGACCGCGCCGAACGTCCCGCGACAGATGGTACCACGGTTAAGGAACCGTCACTCCCGCAGTACGTTCTGGAGCGGTTCACGCAGTCGCTCGTGCGCTTCAGGAACGATTTGAATCCGGCTTTGTTCGAAGAAATCCCGACATTGGATCTCTCGCAAGATCGTGATCCCGAAGGATTGCAGTTCTGGGGTGAAGATGGTGGGCGGCTGAATCGCTTCGTTGCCGGCGATGAAGACGATGAGGACGACGAAGAAGAGGAGAGTAGCAGCGATGAAAGCGAACACCACGAAGATGAAGACGACGATGAGGATGATCTTGATGTTACTAAAAAGCGTGGTAAGGAATTCGACCTGCCAGGTCATGTGTAAGGAGTTTGCGGAGCGGGCGTTCTGGGAAGGCAAAAGGATGTTCTACGAATATTGCTTTGATGCGGGCCTGGATAACAACCTAAAAATTCACGAAAAGCCATTTTATAAAGCAACAGATACCCAAATAGAAACACTTTGTTATTGCGCCAAACGCATCATGGTGTTCCAGTTGCTCCAGGGCTTGCACAAGCCTCGACTCACGTGCGTCATGGTCCGTGCCCGACGCGCTAAGTAAGCGGGCACACTGGTGGCATCCGATTTTCGAATATCGTGACTTTTCGACCTTCAAGCCTCATACTCGCATCCTCATCGTCGACTAACCCCCGCAGCGAGAACCTCTGTCAGTATGTATTGCGCTCCCAGTCTGTGTTCAAATCAGTCGATTTGCGCAATAGTCGCGAATCGCAATCCCAGCTGATTGCTGTAATGAGCATTTGCTAACACATTCTCCCTCCAGAAATGGCCCCAACCACCAAGTCCGCCGGCAAGAAGTCTGCCGGAAAGACCGGCCGCAGCGCCATCGCCGATGTCGTCGCCCGCGAATACACCATCCACCTCCACAAGCGCGTATGTTGATTCAGTTTTGTGAAGTCCACAGATGGTCTCGCGGAACCTTGGGTGGGTGCTCGACCAGGCCGATCACACTGGCTTGAGCACCTACCTTTGGCCGCGCAGGCATTGGGCGGAAGACTGAAGAGAACATAAGGCTAATACATTGGGTATAGGTTCACGGCGTCAGCTTCAAGAAGAGGGCCCCCAAGGCTGTCAAGGAGATCCGCGCTTTCGCTAAGCAGGCTATGGTATGTGCTATAGAAGATTCATCGGCCCATGGCACGCGCGCTACGTGCGTGTGCTGTCATGGTGTCGTCAATCGTACAAACTCAGGCTAATTGTCTCGATGTAGGGCACCAACGACGTCCGCCTAGACCCCCAGCTCAACAAGAAGGTCTGGGAGTCCGGTATCAAGGGCGTTCCTTTCCGTCTCCGTGTCCGCATCTCCCGTAAGCGTAACGACGAGGAGGGCGCCAAGGAGAAGCTCTACTCCTACGTCCAGGCCGTCAACGTCAAGGACCCCAAGGGTCTCCACACCCAGATTGTTGAGGATGCTTAGAGGAATCCCGCGAACAAGGGGAAAGGATGATGTGCATATCAAAAGCATGGCGTTCCGGCGGGTTGTGCTGAGTAGCTACTATGGATATCTAGAGCGAAAGGCTGGTGAAATGATACCTCAATGACAGATCATGCCCCGCCACGTTTGATGGACTTGGAGACTTGAACCACTCTAATTACCTGCTGCCAAAATGAGTGATGTATTGAAGAAGAAATCCCTGTGACGGACTAAGATTTCACCACGACTGACGGCAAAGCAGACATTGACTAGGTACTGCCAGCATCGCTCATTACTGTGCACACAAGTTACGCTGAGTACTAAAACAGTGGTCTGCCAGATCATGTTCGGCTTCTCGCGCTTTACCAGAGAGTACCTTGCATAAGCGGCTCTACGTAGCTCGGCCCTGGGGGGAGCCGAACATTAGGTGCTTACCAAAGCCTTGGATACTGTTCGGCATGTCAGTTGCTCCAATAATTCCTTGTCAGAGAATATAGATAAAGCATACAGAGCGACTTCCAACATGCAGTTTGTATATTCTCGACCTTCATCAATCATCCCCGGTTGACGTCAGACACTCGTCTTACCCCCGCCTGTAACACGCGAACCACCAACTTTCACAACCCAACTATCGCACCACATAGCGATTCCTCACCCTGAACAACGACCGCAAACATGGTGAACTTCAACATAGCTTACACCTCCCGCATCAATCCCGCCGGCGCAACACCGGTACTCAACCAAGCACAGATCTGGGCCGGCCTACAGCGCAAGATCCGTTTCGCCCAAGAATTCGTCCCTGTAATTGAGAGCTGCGACGTACTCAAAGAAAAGGATGGTGTAGTAACCCGAGATGTCAAGTTCAAGAAGGGAATGGGGCCCAAGGACCAGGCCAAGGAAGTCGTTAGGAGCTACTGGCCGAGTTGGGCAAGTACAAATCGTTCGCAAAGTCGACGTTTTTGGCTGATGGTGTGTGAAGGTCGATTTTGAACAGGAGGATGGAACGCATATTCGCAACATCGTCTCCGATGGCCCGTCGGGCGAGATCGAGGACTTGAACATGACGTACATGTTTGAGTTTGTTGTGCCGCATGTGCAGGAGGGGACTCCGGAGGCGGAGAAGGAGATTCAAAAGTTCAAGGGTGTAAGTACTTACTCTTTTTGTCAAGATTGCGCGCATGACATGTGCTGGGGTTCGATTGGTTGCTGACGAAGTGACAGATGGCAAAGAAAGCGGTCGAGAGCAGTATTGATGCTATTCGGGAGATGGTCAAGGACGGGAGGATCAAGGAGTGAAGTCGCTTGTAGGCTCATGGAGAGGCTGTATCTGCACCTGGGTAATCAAACGATTCCACATACTGAAGAATTATTTTTTACTACGACTAGCCAGCAAGCGATAGTGTTGTGCAAAAGCGATGTCCGCTGCATCGCGCGATCCCCACATATACGACGAAACAACAAATCTCTCTGTCCATTTGTCCTGCTTTAGAGCCTTCATAGCCATCTCTCTGTTGCTCTCAGTGCGAAATAACTGAGCTAGTTGCACAATACCTGGTAATATGCGCTTTTCGACAAACTCATCTAACAGGCCCTCCTGTTCACATAGCGCCATCATCAGCAGGTTGTATATGAACCTGGAAGACAACGAGATACTGTGTGTTTCCGCTACCTTTCTCAACCCAGCATCAGCGATGATCGGTCTAGTCCTAGAGCCGTGGAGTGAGTCATCTATATCGTGACCAGTATTGAGGTAATCGAGACCTCTCATGAGGATGCGTCGCATTTCGCTGAGAACGTGGAAGTCTGAAGTTCTGTCACACGCTCGGCAGACACACTCAAAGCGTAGTATACGGTGACGGTCGTCCCTAGTTCTGTAATCAAAGTCTGTTTCGTAACAAAAGAGTATCTCGGCGCCGGCTTCGATGTCACGGGTGGCGTAGCTGATTATGGAGTCGTCGGGTTGAGCGTCATCTGGGATCTTGCAGTTGGGAAGGCAAGAATGATTGAATCGAGAATGCAGTAAGAAGAAGCCATGCGCCTTGTCAGACTGTGCGGGGATAGTGAAGGAGTTTTCTGAAAAAGCCCTCTCCGTGGTTGAAAAAATGCCGTCGCCATTGTCTCGAACAATGAGGAACTGGGCTTTCTCTGTCTTTGACAGTGCGTAGTAGGCGGCGAGCACATCTCTTTCCTCGATCATCCAGTGGGGCTTCCGGATGACGAAGAGAGGCTTTTCTTGTAGGATCTTTTCTCCTTTGAGGATCTTTCGCGTGGCAAATACACCCCATCCTTTTCCAGGTGAGACACCGAGTCTGAAAGGAGCATCGCTGGGGACTTGGATGCTGTGGTAGGCTGCCCAGGTGATGCTGAGGTTAGGCCATGCTCGGCGACGCGAATTCGGTTCGACTTACGGTGGTCAGCAATATTCTGGTGTGAATCCATGGCTCTCGATCATTTCTTAGCTTTGCAATGGCGGAAAATGTGAATTACAGTTTGAAGAAGTAGCCGGATAAAACTTGTCAATGATATGCTGTGCCACAAGCGAATCTGCTGCGAAACGATTGGCAGCTTTGTAACGAACAGGCGGCAAGGCACGCATCATGCAAGGAGCCCCTTGATGGATCACTCCATTGTCTCTGGCTTAATACTGCATTCTGATGTATTTAGTACAGGCCTCTCAACATCTCGCGTCGACGTAAGGTTGCATCTGGCGCAGATGCAAGCCATCAGATGTCTCGCATATATCCGACGGGCTGCCTGGTAAGGCGTCCAGCTGTGACCAAGCTGTCCAGTAGTCTGATTGAGACCACCATCGGCCACTTGGTCGCTCGATCGAATCATGACAGATGTGTGTCTTGATGATAATGAATACATCAAGTTGTGTGAAGCCGTATAACATCTTCAGAGACTGCTTTGTTCGGGTGTAAATGGTGCTGTTATCGCAGAGTGGGTAGTCTTGGTCGCCATGGTGACATTCTCAGTGAGCCGGATATACAAAGTTAAATATAGTGACCGTGTTAAGATAGCTGCATCAAGGCATCTGCATGCATCGACAATGCGGCGAAAGTGTCGATGTGAGGAGGAAGGATGCAGGGTATCAGTCGATCGCGTGTGGAGCCCTGAGCACTAGTGCTTGCCTCTCGGCACGGGTAGTTCCAGTTGACAAACGCGACTTCACCGCGAAACCCGTGCCTCTGCAACAACGTCAGCGCCTCCCACCCCCACCACTGCGAGCAGCCAGGAAGACGGACCCGATCCAGGTCTAGCAACGCCCGACTACCAGTAGCCTCAGCAGCAGCTTGGCAAGCGTGCCCGCACAATCTCTCTGCCGCCCAAGTGCCCCACCTTTGTCTGTACACAACTTCTGCAAGGCAGCGAACCTTTGCGCGCCCGCCCTCCGCCCACGCCCCACGCGCCTATACGCAACCGCTGCAAGAAGCTGAGCCCACGCTTGAGCTTCTTGGGGACATAGACAATATCACAAGGCTGATTGGGAGCTTTTCCCGCCGCGCTGCAGCCCGCCATGTCTCTGTCAATTGAAGAGCTCGACGCCACAGTGCGCGCCTTCTACGAGGGCCGCGGTGAGCAAGTACGTATCTATGCGACCCCGACCAAGGCGTCCCATGAGATCACGGCTAACATGTCGCCCACTGCAGCAAAAGCAAGCTCAGGCTACGCTGAACCAGGTAGGCCTCTGCACTCACCATCGCTGCAGGCGTGTCCCGCTAACCCTCGCATAGTTCAAAGAGAACCCAGACGCATGGCTTCTTGTTGACAAGATCCTATCCGATGCGCAGTACCCGCAGACGAAGTGTGAGTGCAGCGACGTGCTACAAGGTTGGTGGTCCTCGTTGCTAACAGTCGGCAGATCTCGGACTCCAAGTTCTCGACAATGTCATCATGACTAGATGGAAGGTGCTGCCTCGAGACCAGTGTCAGGGTATGCTACAGAACACTCTGTCTTCCGAGCGCTGCTAACCCAGTCAGGTATCCGAAACTTCATCGTCAACTTGATCATCTCGCTGTCCAACAACGACGAAAGCCTCCGCAACGAGCGCACCCTCCTAAACAAGCTCAACCTCGTCCTCGTCTCCGTCCTGAAGCAGGAGTGGCCCCACAACTGGCCGACCTTCATCAACGAGATCATATCGTCCTGCCACAGCAGCTTAGGAATATGCGAGAACAACATGGTCATCCTGCGACTTTTGTCCGAGGAAGTCTTTGACTACTCGGAGGAGCAGATGACTTCGGTCAAGCGAAAGGAACTGAAGCAGAGCATGTGCGACGAGTTCACGGCCATCTACCAGCTTTGCTCAGAGGTTCTGCGGACAGCTACCGAGGCGTCTCTGATCAAGGCGACACTCGAAACCTTATTGCGCTTCCTCAACTGGATCCCTCTCGGCTACATCTTCGAGACACCTCCAAGCGGCCAGAGCCTGATCGAGACCCTGCGAAGCCGATTCCTCGAAGTCCCCGATTTCCGCAACATCACCCTGAAGTGCTTGACTGAAATCGCCGGTCTACACACAGAACCCGCGTACGATGATAAGCTCGTTTCCATGTTCACCGAGACATTGACGGCCATCTCGAAGATCATACCTCTTTCGCTGGACCTGAAGAGCACATACTCTTCGAGCAATGGTCGGGACCAGGAGTTCGTTCTGAATCTGGCGCTTTTCCTGACAAACTTCTTCACCATGCACCTGAATGTCATCGAAAACCTAATGAACAGGGACTTCCTTACGCATGGTCATTTTTACCTTATTCGCATAAGCCAGATCGACGACCGCGAGGTTTTCAAGATCTGCCTGGAGTACTGGACCAAGCTCGTCTCGGAGCTCTACGATGAGATGCAGGCGCTTCCCATAACGGACATGAACCCTCTCCTCAACATGGGCATTCCCGGCAACGGCGGTCGCGAGTTGGCCAACTACCCTCTACGGAAGAACAAGTACACCGAGATTTTGTCCAACCTCCGAACAGTCATGATTGAGAAGATGGTGAGGCCCGAGGAAGTCCTCATCGTCGAGAACGATGAGGGTGAGATCGTCCGTGAATTCGTGAAGGAGAGCGACACGATCCAGCTGTACAAGTCCACTCGCGAGTGCCTCGTCTTCCTTACCCACTTGGACGTTAACGACACCGAGCAAATCATGTCGGAGAAGCTGGCCCGCCAAGTCGACGGCTCAGAGTGGTCATGGGCTAACTGCAATACCCTCTGCTGGGCCATCGGTTCCATCTCTGGTGCCATGAACGAGGAGACAGAGAAGCGCTTCTTGGTCACCGTCATTAAGGATCTACTCGGTTTGACTGAGATGAAGCGCGGAAAGGACAACAAAGCCGTTGTCGCTAGTAACATCATGTATATTGTCGGTCAATATCCTCGTTTCCTCAAGGCCCACTGGAAGTTCCTCAAGACAGTCGTCAACAAGTTGTTCGAGTTCATGCACGAGACCCACGAGGGTGTACAGGACATGGCTTGCGATACATTCATCAAGATCGCGAACAAGTGTCGACGACACTTTGTTGCTCTTCAGCCCGGAGAGACCGAGCCTTTCATCGACGAGATCGTTCGCAACCTGAGAAAGATCACTGCCGACCTCTCACCCCAGCAAGTCCACACTTTCTACGAAGCTTGCGGTTACATGATTAGCGCGCAAGGACAGAAGAGCATGCAGGAGCGCCTGATCGCCGATCTGATGTCCCTACCAAACTCCGCATGGGACAACATTATCGCCCAAGCTAACCAAAACCCCGCTTGCCTCCAAGATTCAGAAGTCATCAAGATTGTTGGTAACATTATGAAGACTAATGTCGCAGCATGTGGTTCAATTGGACCCTACTTCTACCCCCAGATCGGCCGGATATACTTCGACATGTTGACAATGTACCGCGCGAGCTCACAGCTCATCGACGAAGCTGTCCAGCGAGAGGGTAATGTCGCAACAAAGATGCCCAAGGTCCGCGGCCTTCGTACGATCAAGAAGGAGATTCTGAAACTCATCAACACATACGTTGAGAAGGCCGACGACTTGGAGATGATCCACAATAACATTGTGCCGAAGCTGCTAGAAGCTGTCTTGATCGACTACAAGAACAATGTTCCCGATGCTCGCGAGGCCGAAGTGTTGAATGTCATGACGACAATTATCAACAAGCTACATGTACGTTGGCGACCCAATCTGAGCAAGCACATGGTCGGACTCGCTCAGCCACTATCAAAATATATGCTAACCTTCTCGCAGAGTATGATGGAGGACCAGATCATCAACATCATGGACAGCGTCTTCGAATGCACCTTGGACATGATCAACAAGGACTTCTCGGAATACCCCGAACATCGTGTCGAGTTCTTCAAGCTTCTACGCACCATCAACCTCCGCTGCTTCCCGGCTCTGCTGCGACTCGATGCCCGATCATTCAAGTTTGTTATTGACTCCTGCATGTGGGCAAGCAAGCATGACAACCGTGAGGTTGAGAGCGCCGGTCTGTCCATGTGCTTCGAGCTGGTTTCCAACATGTCCGAAACAGACCAGCAAACCTGCAACTCCTTCTTCCAAACATTCTTTACGACCATTCTTCAGGATGTATTCTTCGTGGTTACTGATAGCGATCACAAAGCCGGTTTCAAGTCCCAGTCGATGCTGCTGGCTAAGATGTTCTGGCTTGTCGACTCAGAGAAGCTGCAGGGTCCCATCTACACGTCGCCAGATATGGCACAGGCAGGCACCCCGAACAGAGAGTTCCTGCGGAACTTTGTCGGCAACCTGTTGGCGACTGCCTTCCCCAACCTCCAGACGTAAGTTATATCCGTTAGCTTGTATGACCCATACTAATCAAATCCAGTGCCCAAATTGCATCCTTCATCGACGGACTGTTTGCGACCAACTCCGACCTGAACCGTTTCAAGGTCATTCTGCGCGACTTCCTGATCTCCCTGAAGGAGTTCTCTGGCGACAATGCTGAGTTGTTTGCCGAGGAGCGTGAACAGGCTGCCAAGACCGCAAAGGAGCAAGAGCGTGAACGGGCTATGAAGGTCGGTGGTCTGCTGAAGCCTTCGGAGATGGATGATGATGAGTTGTGACTTGACGTCGAGTTGAACGCAAATGTGGCTACGCGCACGCCCTATGATAGCGCACGCGCCCCCCACGAGTCTGCAGAAAACAAACGCTCCGATGATTCTCTCGATGGATGGGACATGTATGGCTTGTGAGTATCAGTGGTTATGGTGACTGAAGAGACGGTCGCAACGCTGCGTTGGATGGGAAGCGTAGAGTCAGTCGTGTCGGCAAACTTGCGAGGGTGGGAAAATGGGTTCGTTTTGGTCTAATACCCTATAGACCTGTTACTTGTTCATTTGATACATGATTACCTAGCTGGCATGGACGTAGCCTGGCTTGGCTCACAGACTAAAACTGATGGGAGCGCTGTAGGCGTCGAGG